AGTGCAGGAGGTTCGGTGCCTCCTATTCCTCTGTCGAGCCCTCCTGTTCCATCAAGTCCCTGCTCTAAATGTGGCCACCACCTAGAGTCCCCGGCCCATGATGCAGCCATTATATCTCAACTACTACAAACCTGTCTCACACTCCTAGGCAAGCAAGTTAATCACGATCTCCTCGAAGACACTGTCTGGAATGTCATCGCTGTTTTCCCCAAGAAAACTTTCTCTCCTTAGCACCCGACTTCCCCTGCTCCTGCCTCTACACAGGGGAAACCATCTTCAGAAGCTTCTGAACTGATGGATACTTCCAATATCGGGGCAGATGAAGACTTACCTCACCTAACAAAGAAAAGAACTAGAAATGCCTCTATCGATAATGACAGACACTGACAATCACAACCAGAAAAAGAAAAGTTACCATGACAGACCAGATGACACATACTCTCACAACCGTCACAGGAGCCCAGACCCCTCACAACCTGCCGACCAATTGACAATCCATCTTCCTGTTGTAGTTCCTGACAATGTCTTATCTACACAGCCGGGCTCTCCTCCTGTTATTTGTATTCCTGAAGCTGAAGACTCAGATCTCACGGCGGACACAATCCAGCTAGTTGCCTCACTACCTAACCCAGAATCAACTTCCTGTTAAGAATCAAACCCTTAATAAAGACATGGTAAACATCCTTCAGTGGAATGTCAATGGACTCAAATCCAAACTTCCATTACTTCACCTAGCCATTTCTGAAAAAAACATTGTTCTATTGCTACAAGAAACCCTCCTAAAATCTGATATAAATCTTCCCAATTACATGGGATTCCACGTTTTATACACCTGGACAAAACAGAGGTGTCTCTATTTTTATCAGACGGGACGTACATACAGACCCCATATCCTTACAGGACCCTTGTGGTAGAGAGATAGAGATCATTGGATTGTCCCTTTCCCTTAACAGTCTCACCTTATCGATATTCAATGTCTACCGACCTCCTAGACAAAGTGCAATGCTTAACCTGGATTATCTTTATGCCCTTATGAACAACTCGCCAACCATACTGGGTGGGGATTTCAATGCCCATCATCCTGACTGGAATGATCCATCCTCCTCCAATGCAAATTCCTGTAGAAATGGCCTCCACATCCATAAACTTCTGAATAACTTCCCAGCAATAGCACTTCTTAACAGATATACTCCTACCCACCTCCGAGGAGGAGTCCTAGACCTTACATTCACCTCATCTGATCTTCTTCCTTTATCTGACTGGACACTTCACCCTTTTCTCACATCCGACCACTTTGCTACAGTTACTGCTCTACAGTTATCCCGACGATCTCCTCTTCCCCCTTGCCCAAGGTGGAACTTTCGCAAAGCCGACTGGTGTCTTTTCTCCAATATTTTGGAAGAGTGGGCAGAAACATACTTCCCTTCCCCTCACTTAGATGCTCATCAAAAAGAAATCGTCAGTGCACTCCACAAGGCAGCAGACACAGCCATTCCATATGCCTCATCCACTTACTTTAAGAACAAAGATCGCTGGTATCACAACCAAAAAGTTAAACAGCTTAGACACTTGCTATTACGACACAGGAAACTACTATGGAGACATCCCTCTCAAGAGACTTTAACCTCTTACAGAGCTGCAAACAGAATAATTATGCAAGAACTTCAAGAACTACGTACCCAGGCCTGGCTTACCTGGTGCGAATCTATTAATGAGCACACATCCCTTTGGGACATGTGGAAAATAAATAATAATCTTTGCCGCAGGAAGGATATAAAAAACATGGCTTGTGTCATCCAACCCTCACCTCCCAAGGGAAAGGCACTATGACTTAGTACCATTTAGAAACCAAGGAGGACTCCTACCTCACATTACCTTCTTATACCTTTAACTGTTTAAATACCCTCAAACCAGAGAGGCAACCATCATCCAACTGCTATAAACATGCGGTATCCACACAGACACCCCTTTCTCTGATCTGTGAGATCAGGTCATTCCTTGAAGGTCAGTAAAGACACGCGCCGTGGCATCGACAGAATCTCTTACTCAATGCTCAGTGCATCATGGAGAAAAAAGCCCCTTGCTGCGTTATAAGGGATCGTCTTCAATAAGTCTCTGTACTACCTCTGGCAAATTACATCCCCTTTGGGAAATCTGTCCAACATACCATCGTATTATACCCTAAACCGTGCCTAAACTAGCCCTTTGATCCAATCTCTCTCTCTCTTCCTGTGTCAGTCAAGTTATCAAGTCTATGGATCTGAGACTTCGGCGATCACTTATACTCTGACGTGCCCTCATTTCAATCACTCCTCGTTTGTGCCTTTTGTAAAGTGTAATGGGCACAGCAGAAAAACTTATCTCATACACTTCCACAGTGTAACTGATGGCAATGACAGCATCATAGTCTTTTTGACTTCTGGAGAAGCAAGGCCTTTCGAGTTTCGGCAATCTGCGGAAGCCATTCTTAGTTTGCTTGCTAAGAGGGAGTCTGCAGGAAACATTCTAGCATGGACCAAAGACTACTCATTCATGAGCGACAGGCTAGGGTTTAGATCAAGGCCATTTCTCTGAATTTTGACCTTGAAAATGTGCACATCCCACAGGGGGATTTTAAGCCCCCTTCCCCTTTTCAACATTCTTAATACGTGACATTATCCTCTCCTCACTCTATTTCCATACCACTCCCTTCCCTCTACAGCATATCTTCATTCATGCTGATGCGCGAATTGGGCTACAGGAAGAAATCGTGATCATTCTGTGCTCTCAAGCAGGATTGGAAACTCGGCTAGTAATGCAATGGAACTGGTCTCTCAAGATCAACTCGGAGAAAACCAGGGCACCACACAACCCGCCACAATATCAACAACCATATGGCTTTACATCCGATCGACAAATTTGAATGGGTCACTGGAGCCTCACAAAATGTTTAGAGGTATTTCACATCCTTTAAATCCCAAAAACATACCTTCCTTTCTACAACTCTAATACCTCCTCAAGAGATGCAAAGATCGTATTAACGTCCTCCGTAGGCTAACCGGCCATGGACTACTAGGAGCGGGTATCACGTTTTACGCTCATTTTATACACACGGCATACGGTCTCTCATCGACTACAGTGCAACCTCCCTACTATTACTCACACCCGACGAATTCAACACCTTAGAAACTATTCAAAATAGGTGAATGAGAATCATTCTCGGCGCTCCAAGATGGACCCGCTTGGTTAATCTTCGCATGAATTGAATCTATCTCCTCAACCTTTTCCAACTCAAGACAAGGATACAAAACTCTCGCTTCTCCCATGTCCTCCTCAATGAATACCCTTCGCAGGTACATTCATGCTTACACAAACCCAAATCCAAGACTGCGATGGCACTGTGAGATCCTCACTGCAATAGAAACACTCAATTGTATGCCAACAATTAAGGCGAGAGGAGTAGACTCTCCACACAGGCAATACACTCCTCATCCACCATGGGACCCGCTTCCAATCTCCATTATTTTGGATACACTCCCCACTGCTAAAGCTCTCTGCTCACCAACTGACCTTAATAATGCTAAGAATACAGTTCTCTCTATTGCCAATCAAGCTGATACTGCTGCAATCTTCACAGACGGCTCCGTCAACCAGCAATCTGGAGAGGCAGGGTCTGCGTTTACCTGCGGCGACTACATACGCCCCTGCATCAGTAATGGCGCTTCGACTTTACAGGCCGAACTATTTGCCATAAAGACAGCTCTCACGTATGCATTACACCTTCCCCAAACCAACATCTGCCTATTCTCCGATTCCCTCTCAGCTCTACATGCCTTGCAACGATCTAGTCACCAAGACAATATACATCTCACCGCATCAGTATTATACAAACTCCATCAGCTAACCTCCCAAGGCAAAACCATAACCTTCATCTGGATACCAAGCCATGTAGGCATAACAAAACGAAGAACCAGACATAGCAGCGAAAGCCAGCACCACACTTAGTACCTACAGAAGTGTCAAACCCAGTTTAAACCAACTCAAACTTCTTGCCAAACGAACCACATACCAGATCTCATGGATTGCTCACCAGGTTTGGGACCACGCAGGATCACCCTCTGCAAAATGGTATCGAAGAGCAATAAATTACGAGTACCTTCTAATTCCAAGATCTATATCTAGAAAAGCTGCTGTCATCATCCACAGGTTACGAATGGGCTATAAATGTAACTGGGAAATAGACGAAAAAGTACCACGCAATTGCCAGCATTGTCAACAAATAACCACTGAACCCCTCATACATTATATACTACAGTGCCACTGCTTACAACCCATCCGAACTAACGACTTTCCTAGTACAGATGATGCTGGCCTTTCCACTTTAGCTAGCTCAGCTGCCAGATGCGTTCCACTTCTCGAGAGTGAAGAAAAGTTCAAGATTGTTTCCGCTTACCCCCCACCCAGGTGAAGACTTCCCTACAATAAAACTACATACTACTCTGATCTTCATATCATACGAGATTGAACCGCAACTACATTGAAATGCAAATACTGGGTGGCTAAGGCGAAACCCGGGCTACCTGATAAACTTGGGTAGCAAAAAAAAAAAAAAAAAAAAAAAAAAAAAAAAAAAAAGCCGGGGAAAAGCACACCTTCCTCAGAGACGCCGTATGCACTCTCTCTCGCCCCCAAGATGAAGCTGGTGAGTCGAGGATATTCCTTGTGTATCTAGAAGTCATCATTTTTATGTTTCTTTTGTCGAAGGATTATTGCAAAATGTATCCGAATATTTTCCATTAAAAAAGTGAAAGTAATGTGACGAATTTCAAAATCATTTAACACTTTTGTACAATTTTACATATTTCAATGTTAATGGCCCTGGTTGTGGCCCTCTCTGGCCTCCTTGGTTCAGCTCGTGCCATGTCTGACCCTATCCCTGAGTGGCCGACCCGTGGCCGAGTTAAAAGACGCAATTCAAGTTAATGCTATAATGACACTAAGGCGAAATTTGGAAAACACCA